CTGGTTCAACTACTGGATCCCCTGTCGTATTTATGCGGCCACAGGGGATCCAGTAGTTGAACCAGTCTTAGTCGGAAAGCACGGGAGATCACTTCGCCTCCTGCCTCATCGCCTTTGATAATGTCCAGCGCAGTTGTGGACGAAACGTCAGGAAGAAATTCCCATAGACCACGGCTTCAAAGCCCGGAAACATTCCTAAATGTGATCAGTCTGAATGTTCGATAGTTCCATGGAAATTCCAAATATACAGTGCATTTAATTTAATTTGCTGTTCCCTTTACGGTTGCCGATTCTCGTTAAAACTTTGATAAGATTATCGGGTAATCCCCTTCAAATGCAGCGCAACTTCCCATTATTTGCCAACTTGAATCGAAAGTTTTGGGCCGAATTGAAGACAGGCAATAAATTCGAGTTTCGAGCAGGTAAAAGGCCAGTTGGGGTAGTTTACTGTTTTTGAGCCCATTCAATCTCGGCCATCGATAAATTGTACGAAATGCGCCAGAGAGGCTCATCTAAGAACCACAAATCAATTGAATGAATACTAATTATATAAAAAAACTCTTATCGCACTGAAACGCGTTTGAAACATTCTGAAATCCACTAAAACAGCTTTCATTGACGCTGATCCAACCGGACAGAGACGCAATTTAGCATATTCCGAATAACACAACATTTAGAACACTGATTGATCACAATATTTCGGTTCAGCGATTATAATTAGCGCGCAAAACAACGGCAAAGTTAATAACAATTTTCTGCTAACCAGTTTCACACGTAATTAGTCAAATTCAATTCGTCCAGTGGCTTTTCAATGGGCCAACATTAATTTATTTCAACGCCGATCGATTAGGCGATTTCGAACAGCGTTGATGGAACATGTACAATCAAGATACAGAGATACACTTCACTTTCTAACCTTATTTTCACTGTTCAATGAAAACTGATGTTGTGAAATGAGGTTATAAAGTGCAGTTGTGCAGCTTTGGAGTAAATGGTGTTTGTGCGTAGGCGCAATAGAGATACAGAGTGTTGTGTGGGCAAATGCCACGTTTTTAGGCGGATTATTCGAAAGTTTCTCGCCGGAAAGTCAAGCGAGCGTAAGCAAAAACGGATGGAAAATGCCCGATAAATAAAACGCTTTCTATCGAGAAATGCGAGCGGGAAATCAATCGAAAAGGAGCTGAGTCAGCGTTCCGTGGCGGTAATTGACGAAATAAGAAATAGCAGGCAACAGTAACAGACGCTGCAGGTTTATGGACAGAAAAATGCCCTCAATCTCGCAACTTAAGGGCATTAAATTCTATACGGTTGAGGCGGATTGATGTTTTCAAAACCTTTTTCTTGGAATTTTCGTCTTCAAACTTAAAATGGTAAAATCGGAATTTGAAAATTTGTCCGCGCTTAAGAGGTACCTACAGAAGAAAATCAAAAAATTGTCCGGAGACCCAAGGCTTGAAGAAAGCCCCATATTTTCTTTGTCAAAAAGATACAAAATGTTTTATGGAAAAGTTTCGTTTTAATGATTGTTGAATAATCTGCCGTTTTCGACACAAGTATACGGGGTCAGGGGAAAAAGTTACCGGACAAAACTCTTTTTCCCCAAAACATTCTGTATATTTGAATCTAAACAGGTAGAATTTTATACTCTGTTTTGAACAGATTTAACAATTTAGTTGAAGGTTTTTACGTTCAACTGTAGTAAGACATGAAACCAAAGCTAAGTTTTGACCTAGAGGTTTTTGGCTTAAAATTACTGCTTAATAAATTTAATTATCCATATTAACACCCCTTAGAGAAAAAAATCTGGGGTCTTTTTAGACCCATGTGCGCCTGTCTAACCGTTTCAAGAGTAACTATTCCAAGACTCTTTATCGCAAGAGATATATTT